ACAGGAGAGGAAGACCTCAGATGAGATGGATTGATACAGGGACTGGGGCAATGGGAAAAAGTGTGTCGGAGTCAGTGAGACTGGCTCTGGACAGGGCAGGATTCAGAGCTGCTGTACATAGGGTCACTATGGGTTGCAGGCGACTGGAAGACACATAACAACAACAGTTGTTTTAATGCCCAACAATAGTTTACCTGTTAATAGTTTACCTTTTTAAAAGCTATCTATATGAGACAATAGCAACTTGAAAGATTAGACAGGCAGCAAATTAAAGTTGATAGAGGAAAATTCATAAAGAAGGGAAAAAATGGTTGTATGATTCCGTAATGGAATCATTGCAATGCAATCAGTGTACATGTAGGAATTGTTGGATTGGTGGATGTTGTGTCAAGAACAATAAAATAAAATTTAAAGAAAAAGAAAAGGCAATACTGACTCCACCAGCTCCCAGAATAAATTTTCTCTCAAAGATGCTATGTCTGTAAGAAAGGCCTTGTGTGTTAAAGTATAAAAAGTACACTACTTTTACCTTTCAAAGTGGTAAATTCTTGTGGATTATTCACCACTGCAAACCAAAAAATGTAAAAATATAAATAAGAAAAAAGGAGGAGGAAAAAACAGAGGAAACAACAAAAAAACACTTCTCTTTTTTTACCTTGTTTGTATTGAGAAAGCAAACAGGATTGTTTGGCTCAAATACTCCACTCAGCCAAGGATTTTCAGAATAATCAGCATAAAATTCCAGTTCCAACTTCACATTTTTAAAGTTAGGTAGATTTATCACTGCATTGGCCACTTTATCTGATCCACACTCCAGCTTTCCCTCATAGATCAGCTTGTTACTCAATGACATAATTTTACTAAAGGAATTTAAAAAAATCATTTTAGTTTTCATAGACAAAAATAAACATGAAATTCACATAGCATCAGATGCTGTTAAAATACCTGTTCATTCTGTACTGAACAGTCAACTGTACAACGGCATTCTTATTCTCTTCCAGCCTCTTAAATAAGCTTTCACTCATGCCAAGAGCTCTGTCAACAAATTAAATATAGGCTTTTCAGTGCACTGAAATTGTCCCCAAAAGAGAATTCATTTTAGAGTTGAAACTCTTACGTCTCTTACCTTGCTTCACGGTTTAGCACCAGGGGGGGAAGCTGCTGATGATCCCCCACCAACACAAATCTCCGTGAATAGAAAAGTGGCCCCAGACAGATTGGTTGGCTAATTTGAGAGGCTTCATCCACAATACAAAAATCAAAGATTCTTCGTGAAAAAATGGGATGGTTTATTCCCAAACATGTTGTTGCAACTATAAGCTAAAAGCAAATTACAAAAAATATATATACTTAGTTACTTAAAATGTTAAAAGTAATCTATTTCTTTCATTTTTTAAATTTAAGAAAAATTGTAAATTTTATACGATAAGCGAGAGAAGGATGGGCAATCTCCTCCCACGTGATTAACTGTTTTGAAAATCAACTACGGGTTGGTTCCAAATCGACAGTATACAACTATAATAGGAATTCTTCAACAATATTTAATTTTGTAATGTTACACAGTATAAAAACATTTTTTTATATCTTTTTTTCTTTTAATGTATTTTTTTTTCTGGTGGTGGAGAGCATGTGTCAAACTGCTAACCAAAAAGTTCCATTTCAACAGCTGACCCCCAGGAGAAAGATGGGCAGTTTCTTCCCGCAATGATTTACAGCCTTGGAAACCCAATGGAGGGTCACTATTAGGTGTGTGTTTGGTTTTCTTTTTTAATTTGGTGGCACAATGTTTAAGTGCTTGACTGCTAACCAGAAAATATCAGTGGTTCAAACCCAACAGGTACTCCATCAGGGAAGAAATGTGGAGGTCTGTTCCCATAAAGAAGTTATAGTCTAGAAACCCTCCTGAATCAATGTCAATGGGTTTGGTTTATTGAGAATTAGAAAAGATCAAATAAATGTTCTAGATACTACAAACAATATTCATATTTGGCTATTCCAAATAGAAGCTTATTCTTTCTTGAATGTTTCAGGTTAACAATTTCCCCCCTCAGAAGTCAACCAGGACTTCTGCTTTCAGGCAGATGGAACAGAAGCATTTCCCTCTACTCTTCCAACTAAAAAGAATTTTATTTTTTTTTAATGTCTGTTCTGTATAGAGATAAAACAGACTGGCTAGGGACTTTGGAGCCTAATAAACACAAATGTATAGTCTTGGTTGGTTTGGGGTTTATTTTTTAAATCCCATACTTGGAGATGAAGAAGCTGGCAACTCAAATACCAAGTTGTACAGACTTAAAGGAAACGTCAACAAAAGCCTACTCTTTTACCAGAGGCCCAGGAAAGAAGCAGCCTAGCAAAATAGAGTACTTTTATACAATACCCACTCCATACCAGTCAGACACAATCAATAAAACTGAAACATGAAGTGGCTCCACAGGGACCTGAAAAGATGAGGTAATGGTGGGCATAATTCAATGAAGATTAAGTTTACACAACACAATGTATGGGAATGATATAAAGTACAACATGAACGAAGAAAAGTGTAAAACACAACGTATACTAATTTTGTATGCATAATTTTTTTTTAAAGTGGCTCCTACTCTTATCCAAGCAAGAAGCTTTGATTTCCACCCTCAGAAGGCAGTAACAAGGTGGTGTCTGAGAAGGCCAAATACAGAGTCTGGAATTTTATCCCACCAGCTGGTAAGAAGGCCCCTACCCATTTTATCAGTGGAAAATATGTGGGAAGCCCAACTGTTATCAAAATGAAAAAAATATTCACAAAATATCTACAATGGGGATATAAAGACTAAGCCACAGAATGGGAGAAAACATCTGCAAGTATCAGATGGAAGAATTCTCAACTCATTGTTGTCAAATTGGAACCACAGCATAGTTGATTCTCCATTAGGTTTCTGAGATGACCCGTCTTCCTCCTGAGGAACCACTGGTAGATTAAAACGTCCAAAGAGGTAAGGCCTGTAGGTCAGTAGTGCAACTCCCTGTGGCTTACACCACCATCACTCCTAAGCACAATATAGATGATATAAAAATCTCTCAAAATTCAATAATAAAAAAAAGATAATCCAACAAGAAAATTGACAAAAGACATGAAGAGACATTTTACCAAAGAGGATATACAGATGGTCAATAAGTATATGAAAACACTGTCAACCACTAGGAAAATGCAAATTAAAACCACAATGAGAGACCATTCCACATAATCAGAATGGCTAATATAACACAGATTGACAAAACCAAATGATAATAAGGATCATTCATATATTGCTGGTGGAAGTACAAGATGGTGAAGTCATTTTGGAGAACTGTAAAATGAAAAAAAACTTAAAGATTAAACATACAGCTACCATATTGCATTGAGAAAGTCTGCTGTCAGCGACCTCTCCAAAGTACAGAAGAGCAACAATGTCAGTCTGGAGACAAAGGTGAGCCTGGATCCAGGTCAAAGACTTTGCAATTACTTGCTATGCATCAGAAAGCTGGACAATGACTAGGGATGACAGAAGGAGAATTGATGCCTTTCAGCAGTGGTGTTGGAGTATTGTATATACCGTGGACTGCTAGGAGAACAAACAGGTTCACCCTAGAGACGATTAAGCCAGGCTGCTCCTTGGAGGCAAAGATTCTGAAGCTTCATCTGACATATTTTGGACATGTTGCAAGGAGGGACCAGTTCTTAGAGAGGAACATCATGCTTGGGAGGGTGGAGGGACAGTGTAGGACAGGAAGATCCTCGATGAGATAGATTCACTCAGTGATTGGGGTAATGACAGAGCAGGGTTTACGGCTGGTATACATAGGGTTGTTATGAGTTGCAGGTGACTAAACGGCACATAACAACAACCACCACCATATGACACGGCAATTGTACTCCTGGGCATTTATCCCAGAGAAATGAAGATTTACGTGTACATGATGTCTATACATGAGTATTTATAGCAGCTTTATTTGTAACAGGCAAAAATTAGAAATAATTCTGTACTCTTCACTGGCTAAGCAGTGGTCACACAACTGTAGTACATCCATTCTGAGTAATGATGCTTTGCAATAAAACAGAATAAACTATTGATAGACTTTTAACAACCTGAATGAATCACTAGAGAATTATGCTAAGTGAAAACCCCAAGTCTAAAAGATTATATTCTTTATTACTTCATCTCTATAGCATTCTTGATATGAAAACATTATGAAAATGGAGACAGATTAGTGGTTGCCATGATTCAGGAGGGGATGAGGCAGGAGAGAGTGAGTGTGACTGTATAGGGATAACACAAAGATTCCCTGTGGTGACACAATTGCTGGGTATCTTGACTGTATCAGTACCAACATTCTGTGTAATATCATAACACTGTTTTGTATACAATACAAGGAATGTAGGCTTTCTTTGCAATATTTCATACAACTATATGTGAATGTATACTTATCTTAAAATAACACATTTTTTTAAAAATTTTTTTATTATTTTTGTGTGTGTACCGTCAAATCGGATCTGGCTGGTACAGGAGGAGATTATCCCTCCTTCTCCAGCAGAGCATCTGGTGGATTCAACCACACCCCTCTGGGGTTGCAATGCAGCTTCTTGCCACTAGGCCACCCTAAATAACACATAATTTTTTAAAATTAACCCAACATATATTTTTAGCTTACTTCAAAACTTGTATTTATAATCTGCATATAGAAAAAACAGTCAAGAGTATAGATTACATAATGTATAGGTTAGATAATGGTAATATTGGAAAAGAAGGAGCAGCTTAATAAGTCTATTTTTCTCACCCAAAGGAAAAACAAAAAAAAACCCTATCAGTTAAAATTTCCAAGGAAAAACATATAGACATTTAATTAATCACTTATAAATCTGGTCACTGTGAATCACTTTCACAGAGCCTCATTTCCTCTCCATTCTGGATATAAAAATGACCGTCAGCAATGTTGTACAATGATTATACTTACATGACTATTGTAGAGTGCTTCTAGAAGAGCTAAAGATTTAATGGACTTTGATCTGCAAATTTCCTCCTCTGTAAATTTCTGGATATCTGGGTGAACTTTCTGACTTTGACCTAAACGCAAAAATCCTACTTTAAACTTTGCTAACTTTAAAAGAATATTGTCAACAGCAGAGTGTGTATAGCTGGTCAACAAAACACTAAAACCACAGGCGTGCAGAATTCTTACCTAAAAGGAGAAAGAAAATGGCATTATGTTTAGTTCCAGATTATTTCTTATACACTTCTCTTTTTCAAAAAAGAATTGGAAAATTTAACATAAAGCATTTAAAAGCTGAGCCAAATAACCTTTTTAAGATTAGAAAGCAAAATATTTTTAAAACTACATGAGATAATTACATACTATTATTTAACACAGAATATGTTATTTATAAAAAATTAGTCCTTGGTAATCAAAAGGTTACTAGTTTGAACCCACCCAGAGGTGCTACAAAGAAAAAAAGCCTCGCAATGCACTTCCATAAAGATTTCAGCAAAGAAAACAATATAGAGCAGTTTTGCTCTGTAACATGTAGCCAGGAGTTTACACTGATGGCACAAGACAGTAAGAAGGATATGTTACTAATATATTATCAACATTATTATTATTATTAATTAAGCTGAATATTCACTTATCAATTAAATGGAATGAAAGTAAACTTTTTACTTGTGCCAAGTACTATTGGTCAATAAATATTTGCTCCCATTATTAGCTTATTCTGTTAAGGAATGTCCTGACATGAAAAAGAAAAAAAGACCTATTTCAACCACCTCCATATAACCTATCATTTTTAAAGGAAAAGGAAAACAATCATATAAATATCAACAATAAAAAGAGATCTTAGAAAATTCTGAATACAAAGTATTAATAACGAAATTAGAGCTACTTGTAATGCAGCTTTACTATTTCTCAAGTCATTTAAAAAATGTATTGAATGAAGTTATTTTGATATTAAAAACCACAACCTCTGACTGAGAACCTGATGTAAATGTAAAACCTTACAAGGGTACATATTGTAGTTGTTTTTCCTGTCCCAGGCATGCCTACAATGAGTGTGTAGTCTTTCGAAAGTAGGACCTTCTTCATTGCTTGCCTCTGAGGTTTATTCAAACCTACACACAAATTTTAAAATAACAGAAAAAAGAGTTTTAGATTTCAATAAGCAAATTAATTATATTAATAGATAAATAGTCTAATAAAGACAAACTCTTTTATAAGAATACACAAGTCTAACACTTTTTTTAGGACAAGAAAATGTCAGTGACCTAAAAGGATATAAATAAGGTACTCCTAAAGACACTAAGAACTGTAATTGCAAGTCTAATAGATTAAAACACTAGATTATAGTATAATTTAAGTTAGAAATAGAATTTGCAAGGTTCAGATCTATTGTTCATAGGGTCACGATGAATCATTCTCAATGGGACACAACAACAACAACACACGATGATAACCACAAACCTTTCAGAATGCAGGCAACTGTGTCCTTTGCATCATGTGGAAGAACAGAACTGAGGTATGATGTAAACTGAGGTTCACGAAGGTCAATGATTAATTCTCGAAGCCTTTTGCTAAAAACCAAAAACAAAGCACTTTTTGTGAGTCTTCAGAAAAGTGGAATGAAATTCCAATCCCTTCATAATTTGTCACAAACCTGGCATGAATGTTTTCCATCAATTTAGAAAGATTTCCCAGGGGAGTAACTATATCACAATTCTTTTCTTCCAGGTCTAGTCTGAACAAAGTCGATTCTGGGTGTACTGACAAGTTCCTAAAATAGCAAAACAGAGAGGTATGTGAGCATTTTCCCCACAACACTGTCAGTTGGTCTGTAAAAGAAATTATGATTAAAAAAAAAAGAAGAAATTATATTGCTATTTGCTAAAAGAGTTAGTGTTAAGGGTCAGAACAACTATTAAAATGGCTATTGGGTTCGATTTTACATTTGGTGGTCAAGGTTAAAGACAGCATAAAGAATTACTTTGGCAAGAAAGGACAGATGGGGACAAGGCATCAAGGTCAAAGTGGTAAATAAGCAGGCACCTGCAACATTTGCTAAAATCCATGCCCTTGGCCCTTAATCTCACCTGGACTCATTCCTTCTAGACAAATCCTGAATACACAGCTCCTCCCTTCTCCAGCCTGGACGACAAGTCTTTCTGTGCCATTCTCCAACTCCTCTCCTATTAAACGGGAATGCTTCTCAGGGAACTTTGCCCACTGTACTGCTCTTTCTAGTAATTGTCCTTTTGATCTTACGACTTTATGTGGCTTTAACTTCCAAAACTGCACTTTCAGGCCCCACCTTACCACATTCCTCTCCTACCTAACTCCTCATCCAAGCTTTATAATTTGGATGTCCCCCAGGAACCAAGAGAGTTAAAAGCTAAACCACGAAAGCACAGTATACTCATAACTGAACTTCTTTTGACTCCTGCAGAGCCTAATCCTCACTCTGTGGCTCTGATCTCAGCTGTGAGCATTTGCACCTGCACGAATGCTTTGATCCTTCCCTCACCCTCCTCCCAGCACACACATGCAATCGGCATCCAAATGCCAGCCAATTTTATGCACTAAGTATTTCATTTCGTCGTCCCTGCCAACACCACCCTGTTCTCTACAGCCTCTTCCCTGAGCAACTAAAACTGCCTTCTGCTTTCAGTTTTGCCCCCACTAAATAACTCAGGAGCTCTGAGGGTATAATGTGTTAGCCTTATGCTGCTAAGCAAAAAGTCCAGCAGCTCATACCACCAGCAGCCCTGAGGGAGAAAGATGGGCAATCTCCTTCCCATAAAGAATTGCAGCTTGGAAAGTCGGTGGAGGATACAACTTAACAGCAGTGGATCTGGATTTTTTATTAACTCTAATCTCCACAATGCAGCCAGGAAAAAAACACAAATCCAATTATCATTCTTCCGTTTATAACCATTCAAGGTACTCCAATAAGGTAAAAATTTCTTAGCATGGTATATTCTTTATGACTCAACCTTTCTTTTTTCATTTTATTAATTTTAATAAACATTTACAGAGTTTTTGGATTTCCATTCATTCATTGTTACACTTTTCTCCCTGCCCAGACTCAACCTTTCTAATCACTCTGTGATACTATTTTATACTCTACTAATACTGTGTTTGTGGCAAGAAACTGTACTGTAATCCAGAAGGCACCCAGTTTGATTCTACCAGCTGTTCTGCGGGAGAAGAATGGACAATTGCTTCCCATGAGATTAACTGCTTCTGAAAACCTGCGGGAGGGTCAGCTATGGGTGGATTCCAACTTGATGGTACTCAACAACAACAATACTGTCTATCACTTTTCTGAATATTCTGTCATATTATATACCACTGCATCATCCTTTTGCTCAACTTGTTCTCTCTACTGCCCTTCTTACCAAGCTAATTTATTAATCTACCAAGTGGGGAAAAAGCCTTTCCTGAAATACCTAAAATTAAGTTAAATTCCACTTTTCTGTGTTTCCATCAATTCCAGAACTTACCATATTAAATTGAAAATATGCACATGTATTTGCCCACAAGACTTTAGTTTCATCTTCAAGGGTTAATACATGCTCAATCAAGAAATGCTGGTGAGGTTGTGGAGAGATTGGAACTCTTATTCACTGTTGGTGGGAATGTAAAATGGTACAGCCACTATGGAAGGCAGTCTGGCATTTTCTCAAAAAGTTGGAAGCAGAAATACCATTTGACTCGGCAATTCCACTACTAGGAATATACCCTAAAGAAACCAGACCCATACCCTAAAGAAACCAGACCCGAGGCTCTAAAATATGTCTACACATTCATATTTATTACTGCGTTATTCACAACAGCAAAGAGATACAAGCAACCCCAGTGCCCATCAACAAACGAATGAATAGAAAAACTATAGCACATTCACACAACAGAATACCATGCAACACTGAAAAACAGTGAACTCTTAAAACATTACACAACATGAGGAGAGCTTGGAGGACATCATGTTGAGTGAAGTATCTCAGTCACAAAAGAATGAACACTAGGGAGCTCTGATGGCCTAGTGACAAAAATCTGCACTGCAATCCCAGAGGTACATGGTTCGAATCCACCAGATGCTCAGCTGGAGAAGGAGGACAATCTCCTCCTGTACCAGTCAGGTCTGATTTGACAGTACACACACACAAAAATAATAAAATCAAATAAAATTTAAAGAAACAACAAAAACAAACAAACAAAACAACAAAAGGATGAACACTGCATTACACTGCTGTTATAAAATAGGACAGACGTGGTGGGGGTGGAGAAAATGAGGAAAGAGGATAGATAACAAACCTTGTATTAGGTCAGATGAGGGGAAGAACTGTCCAAAAGGAGTATATGATTAGGCATTATATGTATGAGAATAATGTGGAACAAAGGGTGCATTGTGGGGTGGGCTAAGGGAAGGAGAGGGGAAGAGGGGGAAGAAAATGGTCAACAATGAAAAAAAAGAAAATATTGCTAAAGGAAATAGAGTTAATACATGCTAAGAAACCAACCCAAATGCACTGCTGTTGAGTCAATTACAAATGACAGTGCCCACCACTGGGTTTCAGAGGCTGTAAATCTTACAAAAAGGAGACTGCCTCATCTCCATCCTGGAGAACAGCTGGGTTCAAACTGTCGACCTTTTAGTTAGCACCCAAACACTTAACCTACAATGCCACAAAAGCTCCTTAAAACATTTAACAACAATGACTCATAGGGAGCACTTATGGCAAGTAGCTGTGCTGCAATTCCAAAAGCACATGGTTCAAATCCACCAGATGCTCTGAGGGAGAAGGATGGACAATCGCCTGTGTGATTAACTGCCTCTAAAAATTCACCAGAGAGTCACCTATAGGTCAGTTTTCACTCGACGGTACACAACAACAACACAGATGACTCTCTGGAGTGTTTTCAGAGGCAGTAAACTGCATGGGAAAAGATTGTCCATCCTTCTTTCATGAAGCAACTAATAGATTTTCATTCCAACCTTCGGGTAGCAGCCCAGCTCTTTATTACTAGGCCACCAAAGCTCCCTACTATGCTCAAGAGCTCCATAAGACATGGTAGGCAATAAACAAATACTTCAGGGAACCACAGAGAATTCTTGTAGATAATGGGAATATTGAGGCTTATTCTTCCATTTAAGGAAACACAGATGAGGGTAAATTATGGCTGAACTAGTACTACTGGTTGGTATAGAAACAACGAGATAGGGTATTTCCTTCAGGGTTGCTCAAAAGTCACCAAGTCACAGTAGTTGAACTCCAAACTTTAAAACAATGGTAAAGGCATTCCACCTTTAACTGCAAATAAGGGTAGGAAAATAGGAGCTAACTTGTCATGCAAAGAGGCAAATATAGCATTTGGAAACATGGATACTGATCTCAGTTACAGATTTTGATACTAATTATTTATCTATTTACCTAGTATTTTTATTTAAATCAATGCACTTTGCTCTTATTGAGATAAGTATACTTATTTCCTGAGACCTGGAGCACTACATGGTATACAGCTATAATTGCTGACCACTCTAAAAGGGATCGCAGTAGAAGGTCCTGGATAAAGTAGGCAAAACTGTAGCATTAAATTAAACACATAATGACAATCAGGTACGCGGTTTGAGGCCACCAGCTGCTCTGTGGGAGAAGGATGGGCAATCTCCTTCTGTGCAACTGTCTCTGAAAAACGCTGGAGGGTCAGCTATGGGTCAATTCCGACTCTTTGGTACACAACAACAACAACAACAATCAGGCTTACTAGTCCAATAGATACTGGTGGAGCCCTTAAGACTATTGCCTTTAGTTATCCTTTGAACTTGGAACAAAACCCATCCCTAGAGCAATTTCTAGGTAAAACATAAAAAAGCCTATAAGGTGAACAATAACACTGAATAGGCACTCACTCTTTGGAATAATCACTTACAGAAGATCAAAAGGAAAGCATCTGTCCAGGCATAAAGCACAGATGGGTATGATGGAAAGTATAATGGAAAGAATTACAGGGTCAAAGTGGGAAGACTGCAGTTACATTATGGGTATTGTAATTAATGCCATAAAACAAAATATGTATGAGCCATTGAATGCAAAATAAATTTGTTTTGTAAACTTTTACTCTAATCACAATTCAAGGTTTAGCAATATATCTGCTTCTCAAAAGGCTTAACATGAGGTTACCAAATGACCAAGAAATTCTATTCCCAGGTAGTTATCTGTAAGTGGAAATAAAAATATGTACACACAAAAATTTATACAGAAACGTCTCACAGCAGTGAGTGAAATAACAGTGTTATTCTTAAGACCCAAAACATAAAAACTACCCAATGTCCATTAGCTGCTGAATAGTTAAGCAAAATTAGTTCAATCTATAAAATGGAATATTATTCAACTTTTTTTATATTCAGCTTAAAAGCATTACGTACTAATATATATTACACATTGACAAATTTTAAAAAATAGTTTCCTAAGTGAAATAAGACACATATAGTAATATATTATTCCATTTGTGTGAAATGTCAGGAGTGATACTCAAGTTTCACTCTGGAGCATAGTATTCTTTGGTCTTTTACTAAGGATATTCCCAAGTTGGAGCCATTATAAACAACAAAAAAAAAAGATAAGACAATGAAATGTCAGGAATGAGATAGAAAGTAGATTACTGGTTGCCTGGGCTTGGAAGAATTGGAGGGAAATGAGATGGAGACAAGGTCACTTCTGGGATGATGAAGACATGTTCTGAAATTAACTGTGGAGATTATTACCATATAACTTTATGAATAAATAAAAACACACTGAATTGCATACTTTACCTGTCTAATAAGCAGGTTACTGTTGTTGTGTTAATTTTCTTCACATATCCCCTAGCCACAACAAAGAGTGCTCTCTCTTCTCCACTTAATATAATTTTGTCACCTGACATTAGATTTGTGACAGGCATTGCACCATTTTTACGCTGGAAATTATGCAAATATTGTCCATCACAAGCTGTCTTTACATTTTCTGTTTTAATCAGGTTTCCGATGCAGTTGCCACTCTTCTCCCTATGAAAGAGAATGAGAGAGAAAGCTTCTAATGCTATGACACGTTTGCATTTTCCTACAATTCAGTTTTTCATCTGACCTCTTTCACAATCTATATGAAAGTGTTAGAAATGCTAAGTGAGCATTCTCCCCATTACTATGAAGTAATCTCTTAAAATAAAACTACCAGAAAACAACTCTCTTGACACAGCCTCGCAGGCTCAGATTTCTGATAGAACTTTATAGATCAAGTTCTACTAGAACTTGGTAGAACTTTAATCCTGCCACAATGTCCCTACCTTCTATGCTAGTCATGCACTAGCATACTAATGTTCCATGTGAACATTAAAGAAGACAAACCATAATAATCTATTTCATAAACTGAATGTGGGGGAAAAAATTACTAACAACCAATTTCTTCAATGTTTGTTTACATGAGGATTTTTCACTATTGTCATTATAATAATGGTATAAAACAGTTTGGCAGATCCTCAAAAAACTAAACTTATGACCCAGAAATTGCATTCCTAGGGATACACCTAAAACATTTCAGTGGTAATTATCCAACTTTGTGAATATACTAAAAATCATTAGATTCAAACAAATACATTTATATCAATAGTCAAAGCAATATTTATTCAAAATAGCAGAGGTGGAAAACTAGTGTCCATCAACAATTGAACAAATAATGTGTTTTATCCATGCAGTGGAGTATTATTTATTCAGCCTTTAAAAAGAACAAAATTCCAATACATTTATAACTTGACTGAACCCTGAAACATCATACTGAGTTTAGAAAGCCAACCCTAAAAGGACAAATGCTGTATAAATCCACTTATATGAAATAGCTAAAAAAGCACATCTACAGAGACAGAAAATAGATTAGAAGTGATGAGGCAGTGGCATAAATATTGACATTTAAAACCCACAGGCATTTGCTACTAAAAAAGATCTATCTGCTTGTACCATTATATGTACTTTTTTTAAACATAATTTATTCTTTTTTTCCCCATTTTCATTAATTTTAATAAACATTTATAGAGATTTTGGATTTCCATTCATTCATTGCTGCACTTTTCTCCCTGTCATTATATGCACTCTTAAGAACAATCTACATGGGATCAAATTGACAACAAGAACCTGAACCTCAGAGGGCAGTGAGTTCATGCTAATGAGGGAGGAGGTTGAAAATGGTTGCACAATTTGTAGAATATAATCACTGTCACTAAAGAAATTGTTGAATTGGTATATGTTTTGCTGTATATGCTTTCTGCAACGATAACAATATTTAAAATAGGAAAAAAATTAATGATTTCATTGCTTCTAAGAAATAGTAATTAACTATAAGATGCTACGCACTACACAAAATACAGCATAACTTTAGCAGCTTACTAGCATGGATAAGTAATATAATCACTGTGGGTATGAACTGTAATCATTTAAATGTCCCATGCTGTACTGATTCTTTATATTAAAGTCTCATATTAAGAAAGAAATTCAATTATTTAAAAGTTAATTGTCATCAGTATTCTGTATTACAGAAAGAACTAATGGAACTTCTGCAACTATATTTTGTTTAAAGAAAAATACTATGTGAAGACAAACACCAAATTTTCATATTATATATAACTTGGAAAAATTGGATTATTAAGAAAACAATCTGGGCCTACATTTAAAAAGTCTATCTCTATTACAACTTACTGAATATAAACTTTTAAAATGCTTATATTTTTAAAAATGAAGTAAAACCCCATCATTTTCTCTCTCACTATGTAATAATTCCTCTTAAGCTAAACCAAAGTTTATATTATTTTCAATGATAAAAAAAGATTAGCAATTTTTACAACAATGAATGAATGGAAATCTAAAATCTCTGTAAATGTTCACTGAAATTAATAATAAAAAAAGAAATAAAATTTAAAATTTTTATTTAAAAAAAGATTAGCAATTTAAAATTATCATCAGTCAGAAGACCAGTGGCCAAGAAAGGAACTAACCATTAATTAACTGTTCAAATTTAATCTGAAGAAAATTAAGAAACAAAACAACATTGACTATATTCCACCTGAATTTAAAGACCATCTCAAGAATAGATTTGATGTACTGAATAGTAATGATTCAAGACAAGTTGTGGGATGACATCAAGAAGAGCATACATAAACAAAGATCATTAAAAATTAGTAATAAGGGAGCTCTGGTGGCCTAGTGGCAAGACGCTGCACTGCAATCCCAGAGATACGTGGTTCAAATCCACCAGATGCTCTGCTGGAGAAGGAGGGGGGCAATCTCCTCCTGTACCAGTCAGATCTGATTTGATGGTACACATAAAAATAATACAATAAAAATTTTAAAAAAATTTAAAATAAAAAAATTAGTAATAAAGACTGAAGAAGAATTAATGTCTCTGAATTATGGTGCTGACAAAAAATATATAAAACACTGTGGACTGACAAAAGAACAAACAAAGGTCTTAAAAGGGCAGCTAGAATGTTCCTTGAAGGTAAGGACAGTGAAACTTTGTCTTGAATTCTTTGGGCATGTTATAAAAGAGACCAGTCCTTTGAAAAGATACCCCGTTTGGAAAAGTGGAGGGTCAGCAAAAATGAGAAAGACCTTCAATGAGCTGGACTGACAGAACAGCTCCAACTATGAGTGCAAGCACAACAAGTGTGATGATACAACAAAATCAGGTTCATTCAATTGCATACAGGGTTCCTGCAAAAGGAGCAGATGCAACAAGAGAGTAGCCACGTCAGACTCCTACATGCTTCATAAAGTGAAACTGCCCCATCAATAATATCCATAGACTCGACAGCACTTAACAACAATAACATCAACATAGAGAGTGATCAGTTGGCCTAGTGGACAGAAAGCAATGCTACCAAGTTAGAGGTGGGTGACTTTTAATCCTCAGCCCTCAGAACTGTTTTTCATTGTTTTTGTTCAAACATCCTTCTGGGTCGTATAGCCCTGGTCTGTCCACTTGCTGTACAGAGGCAATTTGTGGTTGCTGTGAAGCTGAACACTGTGACACTGATGTGTCAAATGCATTCATGGTTACCCATGGTGAACAGTGTTTGGTGGAGCTCCCCAATTAAAACAAGCTTGGAAGCAGGAGTGACACCCACTTCCATAATAGCTTGCCTCCAGAAACCCTATGAACTTAGAGAAAGGATGAAAGTGACACAAGTGTTGAGGACTTTCGTTCATAGGGTCGCTATGAGTTGCCTACGACTCAACGGCACTTAACAACAGCAACAACCACCAAAAATAGCTAGCTATAAAGACATACCACCTCACATGCTCCTGCACCTTTTTCTACCAATTATTATTAGGTCCAATGTTCATTGCAAGACTCACAGATTTTATTTACAGTTGTGGAGTTTATTAGGGAAAAAGGTTGGAAAGTAGGGGAGGCAAAGAATATCATGCAATGCAAGACTAGGTTTAGTTTGGCAGTCCCAAAGCAGATAAACAGCAAGACACAACTCCTTAATTAGTGAAAGACAGCTTCTCAGTCAACCAGTAAGTCTAGGTTCAGTGCAGCAGTACAAATGCAACAAGGCTCTGATTTCCTCAATCGTCCAGCTAAGTTTATGTCAGAGCAATTTTAAGGCAGCTCTTCTTTCAATCATCCAGCAAGCAAAACCTTTCACTGTGGCTCCATCTCCAAGCTTCCTCCAGTTTATCTCAAAGCATTGCCACAGTCTATTCACCCTCCACCCACCACTGTTTTTCACATAATGGAAAGCGCTCTTTTTTTCCCATTGGTTACACTTTATTACATCAGATGGGTGAGGGCTTTGGGGGACAGTGGGGCACACTCAGTACTTCTCGGCAGCCACCTTTCTCATGGCGGCCAGGACATTGCTGAGTTCTTCTTGTTTCCTCTTGGTGCAGATGTGTGTCTCCACCCTTTTCTTAATGAACTTGAGGGCCTGCTTGTCCTTGGAGACCTTGAGCAGCTCCATGGTACATCGCTCGTAGGGCACGAAGCCACACACCTCCCAGATCATGTCCCCCACAAAGTTGGTGTGCTTGGTGAGGCACCTGCGGCGGTGGCTGTGCCTCAAACTTGCTCAAGTTCTTGGTGACTTTGTGGCCCTTATTGAGGCCCACGGCCATGGGGTAGTGCAGAGCCATGGCTGCTGCATGTCTATGGCTGCCATGGTGGAAGGCGGAAAGCACTCTCTTATATTGCTCCTACAGCTGTTAATGATTTGCAAGATCATGTGCCTGCAATTAAGGCAGCTGAAGACTAGGCCCCTAATGAGAGCTAACACAATGGCTAGAAAAGCCAATTTTCAAGGGTTATGACACCTCAGGCCCTGTGAGTCAGAACAGAACTGACAGCACCTAACACAATAGTTCTTTAAATAAGATTTGATGCATATTTAACCTTTTAAAAAGCATCAACAATGATTCTAGCATCTGAAATGTGGAAACAAAGCTCTACCTAGAAATAATTCATGGATAGCCATCTGAAGCTGTGAATATTTGAAAAAGCATGCTTAAACCAGCTGTGGTTCAATCAATTCCAATTCATGGCAACCAAAGGTATTACAGACTAGAACTAGCTCTCCACAGGGTTTCCTGTTTCCTTGGTTGTAATGCTTACAGAAACCGACTGCAGGGAGCTCTGGTGACCCAGTGGCAAGAACCTGCATTGCGATTCTGAAGGCCACAGTTAAATCCATCAGATGCTCTGCTGGAGAAGGAGGGGCAATGTCCTCCTGTGGCAGTCTAATCAAAGGTATACAACAAGGAAAAGGAAAAAGAAGCAGATCACCAGGCCTTTCTCCTCTAGTGCTGCTGGATGAGTTCAAGCTACCAACCATACTGTTAGTACAGGAGTTCAAGTATTTCAAATACTAAAAACCTTTTAAATACCCAAATTATTTCAGTTTTACAATGATAAAAAAGTCCAAATGAATTATGTTTTACTGTATTAAACAGACCACTTACATTTCTGAAGCAGGTATTAGCCATATATTTTGGTGATTCTTTCGATTTTCCTTTGATTGTGTTTCCAGGGTTAACATTAGACACCACAGTCTGAAGTACTCTAAGTGTGCAAGCTGCAGGTGCTGGGTTTCTTCCATTATCTTGGGCAGCATACTAACTGGGACTGAACCATCATCCATCTGTTGTTCAAAAGCTCTAAATAAAATCTCCATGTTAGAGATGTGTGTGAAATATTATACCAGCTAGCAAAGAAATGCCTTCATTCTAAAATAGGTGTGTGCGCGTGCGTGCGCGCCCCCCATTAACTCATAATTATAGTCTCTAATTTTAAAAGTTATCTCAACATTTTATAAGCTATGTGCTCAGGGAAAAAGAAAAATACATAAGAAACAATATATTATTTTGCTTTCAATGACTATGCCACAAATAACATAAAATTATTATTATTATTGTTGTTGTTGTTGTTGTTGTATGTGTACTGTCGAATCAGATCTGACTGGTACAGGAGGAGATTGTCCCTCCTTCTCCAGCACAGTATCTGTTGGATTTGAACTGTGCGCCATCGGGATTACAGCACAGCTTCGAGTCACTAGGCCACGAGAGCACACAAATAATTTAACTGTGTTATATCCCAGGTTCTTATTACTATACAAAAACAAGTATGGGAATTCTCTAAAACGACATTTCTCAAGATCACAATATATATAAATGTATTCTAAGAAAGTTAACATGAAAACATGGAGAATCATATAGGATATTAATTATGCTTAGCTAAAGTTAAACTTTTTTAATAAAAAAAGCTTGTTATGAGCTAACACACAAAACCTTAAAAATAAAAATAAAAAACATTTCACTAGTGGCAAGGAGATGCAACTACAATCCCAGAGGCGTGCGGTTCGAATCCACCAGATGCTCTGCCGGGGAAGGAGGGACAATCTCCTCCTGTACCAGTCAGATCGGATTTGACGGTACACTCACACAAAAATAATAAAATAAAAAAAAGTTATAAAAAAATAAAAAACATTTCAAAGAAATGTGCTTGTCCTGTACCCAATGTTGCTGGCCCAAAATATCACAACATTTGGAGAAGGAGCTTTTTAAATGTAAGCAAATGTATAGGAAAGCAGACATGAGTATCTTCCCGACCTTCAAATTTGAAAATTCTGAATCTGAAGCTGTTGGAAAAACCCAGTTCTGAAGCATTATGTGAAATTAGTCTGGTAATTTGCTATGGATTAATTAAACAGTAGTATCAGAATAAACATATTATTTCAAAATTTAAAAAAATAATGTCATTTCCAGCTATGTTCATATGCCACTTAAAATAATGCGTGCTTACCTGCTAGAAAGAGCACAGTTGTCCACTTGTGAACAATATTTACAAGTTTGATAGTCCTCAATGATTTGTGGCAAAGGTGCGAGCTGTATCTTTTCCTTTCCAGATGCAGATTTAGTGATACGGTTAAACAAAGAGAATGCCATCTGGTTTCTCAGCTTTAATAACTCTATGGGCAGAAAAAATGATGAGTGTCATTTTATGAATTAGCTTAGTATAGTATATATCTTATCCATCCTATAAATTTCAAATAAATATTTTATTTTCTTTACTGTTTTTTGACTTCGATCACTTCTCTGAACAACTGCACACAGGTTTGTCCCACTGTCTGAAAACAGAAAATTGCAATGAAATCTTTCATAAAACAAAATGGTGTAAAGAAGGAATTATCAATAATTTTTATGGCACAAATTGCTTCCTTATTCCCAGAGCCTTCAAAAGAACCTACCAAATAAAATACAAAGCCTGAAATCTGCCAACACTTACTATCCGCAGGCATGACAGGACAAAAGCAGAGCCTGCACAAACCAGAGATGTCAGTGCAGTGTATTTCCCAGGGAAAGAGCGTGACCATGACACTCATTACGTAGGCTGCCTCTTTAACAACTCCCTGCAAAGCAAACACGAAACTCTAGCTTTGCTTTTCCCTTTGGATTTCTTTCATTTAGCAAAAATGGGCACTAAATACAGGTCTTTCATGAAAGCAAAGTGACGTAAAGCAAATTTTCAAAAAGTGGGAGGTCCCTGTATCTCTTTAATAAGTATCCTGACACTGTTGTTTTTATTAGCTGGATAATATTTGATACATACAACTATACTCAGTTCTATCTGTATCTCTGAAACAGGAGAGCACTGATGGCTTTAACTGTCTTTACACCATTTTGGCCTATGAAAGATTTCAGAGGCATAGTCTACTTTCAGATAGTGGAGCAAAACTGTACCTAGTTCAAAGAAGTTATCAAGTAAATATAAACGTTGAAGGAAATACATTGAATATTAATTTGAAAGGTAAGGCATTGCACTGCCAACCAAAGGCAAAGATTTGACGCCACCAGCTGCTCTGAAAGAGAAAGATGGACAATCTTCTCCCATGCGATTTACAGCCTCTGAAAAACCACCAGAGTGTCACCAGTGAGTCAGTTCTGGCTCGAAACAACACCTCTGACAAAACCAAAAAATCCAAATTCGCTGTCTTTAGTAAGTCAAATCTAACTCATACCAACCTTCTGCTGGGCTTCTAACACTGTAAATCTTCACAGGAGGAGACTATTTTCTCCTGAGGAGCAGTTGGTTGACAGTTGACATTTTACACATCACACCACCAAGCTCCTTATCTCAAGATATGATAGGAAATTTAAAATAAAATTTTATATCATAAACATTTTAAAGATTTTCAACACTCTATCATAACTACCAATCACAAGTTGTACTGGCCTTGTTGTTAGATGTTGTCCAATTAGAACAATCTCACAGCTGAGCCTCCAGTGGGTTTTAAGAGGCTACACATTGTAAAGGAGCAGACTGCAGCAGGTACATTTGAACCACATGCCTATGAGTTGACAGAGTTAACACAAGGCCACCAGATCTACCTGTATTGATCTTCTTGTTGTTTTGTATGTTGAGTTAGAATCAACCCATAGCTGACCCTTCAGTGAGTTTTTAGAGGCAGTTAATCACATGGGAGGAGAATGGCCATCCTTCTGCAGAGCAGCCGGTAGATTTAAGACACATGCCTTCAAGATTGCAGTGTAGCTTCTTACCACTAGGTCACCAGAGCTCCTTGTATTGACCTAGCAAGTACAACATGTAGACTGGTGGCCTAGTGATAAGAGCTGCACTGTAATCTCAATGTGGAGCTTATCTTTCAACATGACTTTCCTAGCCATAGTTCGACTTTGTCACATAAATGGGCAAGAATATGTGAATGGCGCATGGTTGCCTTTCCACAAGACGGACTGGCTATCTAAGAATTCACAAGGGGATTGACTAGTCTCACCATTAAATTGAGCAACCCAGCAGCAGAAGAATTAGACCTTTCCCACCAACCAAGAGAAGAAAAAAGAAGCAAGAGAATGTAGGACACCATTCAGGACAAGACATTCTTGCTTCAGCTAAACCTAAGGCAGCTGCCACCATAGCCAAACTAGAGACCTGACATGAGATGGGACCTTGGGATTGCTACATCATTGGAACTGGAACTAAGAGCCTTTGCCCAAGTTTGTTGGACAACCAGGGGTCAGGGGCCAAAATTCACAAGACTGAGAACACTGCAGTCCTAGCCTAAAGCCATAAGGCTCAAGGCTGCAGCATCTGTGAGCACATTTTAGAAGGCATCCTCATTATGTTCTGCTGCTGAACTAGATTATAACTTTTTTACTTCCTCAATATGGTTCTGTGTGGTCTGTGAGCTATCTCATCGGATTTTGGGGCACAATAAAACAGTGACTGGTTTTGAGGTGAGTAGAAAGTGATATAGGAGCATGGGGGGACATGTGTGACCTCATGGGAATTTGTTTAGTATTACTGATGCTGTCGACAGAGACAAGTCCCCTTTGTGAAGTTGGTCAGACATGGCTGTCCCCATGTGGCTCTTGCTCTTTTTTACACCCACAGGCATGCAGTTCAAATCCACCAGCTGTTCTGCAAAAGAAGGATAAGCAATCTCCTCCTATGTGATTAACTGCCTGTGAAAACCCACTGGAGGGTCAATTATGGGTCAGTTCCAAATTGATAGACAGTACACAACATCATATGTAAATTCACATCACCAAAATTTGAAGGAGAAACATTTAAGTAAAGCAGAAATAAAAGAGCTCAACCTCTCTTATCAAGGTGTTTGGCAGGCACAGGGTACATCTGACCAGTCTTAAGATAGAGGAGCAGACCAGCTTCAGGATCAGGTCTTCTTTCCTGGCTTAGCAGTGTGTACAGAACCACCTAAGAAACAAACAAAACGAGTACATTTTGTAAAATAAAAATTGTTCTAAACTGTCTTGCAACCAACACATATTGTAAAGCTAAAATGAAATGGTCAAATATTTCCATTTTTAAAATAACATAAGTGGAATAAAGTAAATATAATAAGTAAATACAAAGTAAATACTATCAAATATTTACATTCCATAAATAAGCATGCTTAAAGTTTATTTTACTTAGTAAAGAAATCTTTAGATTACCAAATTAAAGCCAAACCCAGCACCAATGAGCTGATGCCAATGACTCAAAGTAGCACTAGAATTCAGAGAAGAATTGTCTCTCATAATTTTTCCAAGGATTCAACTCTTTACAGAAGCAGACTGCCTCATCTCTGCCCACACTTGTGAATTCAAACTGCCCATCTTTTCTTTAGCAGCCAAATTCCTTACCCTCAAGCCTACCAGAGCTCTCATAAATTAAAGGGAGCAAATGGATCAAACTGCTTTCTGTTCTGGACTTAATGGTATGTAGTCCCTTTGTTACACCATTTTCCCTATGCTAAAAACAAGAGAACTAAGTATCAAAATGTTTGTCACTGATGCCAGTTAGTGTGACAAATAAATGAAACTAATCCTATAGACAGCATGCTGTGTCAGCACAGGATGCATTATTAAATTATTAGGTTTAGAGCTCTGGCGGTCTAGTGGTAAGAAGCTGTGCTGCAATCCCAAAGGCAAGCGGTTCAACTCTACAAGCTGCTTGGAGGGAGGTCTATCTCCTCCTGTATAATTAAACTGCCCCTGAAAACCCACTGGAAGGTTAGCTATGGGTTGGTTCAGACTCCATGGCACACAACAACAACAACGGAGGAAAAGAGCAGAGAAAATGCTGACCATATATAATTATTAGGTTTATGTGGTGGTCTTCAAAGAAACAATCTTAAGATAAGGTAGAAATAGGCATTTCAGTTCATGAAAAAAGGTTTAGCAGCAACAGAAAAAAAAAATTTCCTTGGAGTCATATACAACTTAATGGCAAGCTGATTTGCTTTCCAAAAGATTCCCAAAACCAAAAAAAAAAAAAAAAATTCCTAAGACCAAAATATTCAATACCTCATGAGGACCAAGTTTTTAAATTATAAAGGTCTACAACACTAACTCTATTAATTAAAATGAACATGCATAAGCATGTAAAAAATTATCCCTTTAGAAGACTGAAGTATATTTTAAACATAATGATTAAACAGAAGACACAAAACACTATTTATAGCACAAGTTCAAATTATATCTATATACCAATTACTAAATACCCCAGACAGATACTTAAAGCAAATAACTAATGTTAACTTACACTGAATTTACTCTTTTGCTCCTATCAAAAAACAGTGATGTTTTTACAACTAATGAATGTGCCAGAAATAGAAAAGAAATCCTAATATATAAATTTAGCAAAGAAAATAAAATTTTCTATATGCCAGTGTTCAAAAACATTTATAGAACTACTTATGCTAGCCTCAAATGTCAACCAGATAAAATATGGAAATATTTCAAAGTTTGATATTTAATTAAGCCTGACACTGCATATATAAAACTCATTATAAAAGGCTATTGCTTCAAAATCTGGGCCTATGAAACACGCGCTGGGAGGTCTTCTTAGAACCACTTTACTTGTGGCCCCTTCTACAGCATAAACTCAAGGTCGCTGAGTGTGTTCCAACTCACAGCAGCACTTCATTCAGTTTCCAAGGCTGTGAACCACAGTGGAAGGAGAATGCCTAGCTTTCTTTCTTGCAACTTGTAGATTCGAACCTCAAAGCCTTAGGGTTGAGCAACACAATTCTCAACAGACTAAGCCACCAGTTGTTGTTAAGTTGTGCCATCAAGTTGCCTATGACCCACAGCAACCCTATGAACAGCAGACCTAGCCTCTACCCATTTTGTGCAATCATCATCATCTCTGATGTACCTGTTGTTACAGTAACTGTGTCAATCCATGCCACAGTATAGGGATTAAATAAAAATTTAACTAAATTTATAAACCAGAGGACAAAGCCTTGGGACTCTGAACCAAAGGAGTCATCCAAATCTAAGTCCATCCATGGAGTTTTTCCATCTCCATGGAAACTGGAGCAGAAGGAAGAGTTACATAAGACTCTGCTTCAGAGAATAGTGAAAAAGAAACGATTTCTTTTAGGAATTTGAAGTTAAATTCTCATGATATTATGGCACAGGCTTACTCCTGATGTTAAATGCCATCCAACTGACGCTATAGACAACAGATTTGAACCCTGCGCTAGCTGCACCATCCCCAGGATCGCTGACATGCTCGAGCCCAGTATTACAGTCACTGTGTCAATAAAACAAGTTGCACTAAATTTCCTAACACTACACTACTTTACAAGTTAAGTAGATTTTTGCAACTGTTTGGAGAATCCCAGGTCTACATAATATCTTTTATTTGGAAAAAATGTGTTTCAAATGTCAAATCAATGGCTTGTAAATAATGAATTTTTCAGTACCAAATTCATTCATAAAATAAGAATCTTCATTTAAAAAAAAAGAATCTTCCTTCATTGAAGCGAATTTGTAACTTAAGCTTCTCTGTGTTACCAAGGTGAAAATTTCAGATGTTCTGTTCAGAGTTGCTAATCACTGTAACTAATAAGGGTTTCAAATACATTAAAAGGGCAGAAGAAAGTTGTTTTGGTTATTAGAGAGGAAGAGGATGAACTTATAAAAACCTTGAACATAATGGTAAGACAGTGCTCAATTTTAACCTAGTAAAATTTAATATCAGATTAGCGGCCAGAAAGGAAAGAATTAATTCATACCAATATTTTCTACAATGCTATAAGTAGATGTTCTATGAAAAATAATTCCAAAGTCAATGAAAGAAATATTGAGTTAAACACAGCTAAAATAAATGGTATTGCTTTAAGATTTTTCAGAATCTTTAATACTACTGTATTGAGAAATTCCAAAAATACACTGGTTTCCCAATAGCATCTGTTGAAACTGGTAGTTTGGCAGCACATATCTGGCAACACTGGCTTACATATTCAGTTGCTGTACTACTTTACTGGAGAAAAAGTCTTGCTGTTGCACAAATAAAATAAATGGGACACTCAAGGTATTAAAAATGTTAAAGTATTATGTAAAATTATATAAGAATACCCAAAACAGAATCAAATTATAAAAAGAAGAGTACATCTTTATTATATATACATATATATAAATAAAAATATATAAATTTAGGTAGTTTTTTAATGTTTTTACCTGACTACGGTGTTCAATTGAATTTGATTCTTTGCCAGTTTTAAGTTCCAAAGGCATTATCTTATATTTCATTTTGTATCCTCGATGTATTTTCACACCAACTGTAACATCTATTTTACCCTTCAGTCCAAACCTAGGGGACCAAATGCTTTCTTCAATATCCAGAGCTTTCACAACTTCTACATTACATGTTGAATTATCCTTACTATCATCACTTGGCCTTAAAAAAAAAAAAATTATTAGAAAATTCCATTTATTTCTTATGTGTTAACACTGACTTTATACACTGACACAGAGAAAGGGAGTATACAAAATCTACAAATAGTTACAGCAGTCATTCTCAAAACATAGTCCTTAAATTTCCAGCCATCACCTTGTTATTAGTTGCTTTTATTAGTCTGGGGTAGTTTTTTCTTTTTAATTATTTTAATGGTTTGTATTCAATGGTTAATTGTTAAGACTATAACTTCCCAAGTCCTACCTTAGATGAACTCTACTAATACAGACCAGAAAACTTTCCCAGTAATTCTAGTGCATGTATGAACATGAGAACAACTGTACTGAGTCATGTCACTATTTTTGTTTCCTTAATAATTATTATTTGTCCCCCTAAAGCATAAATCAATACAAATAGGCCATAGTTGTTAATTTTATGAAATTATTTTCAATTGTGTGATCTGATATAATTATCTTATGTGTTGTAAATCTTAATGCCTATGAAGTTAATGTGACAGGGTAAGATGCAGGTGTTTTAAAGAGGAATCTTGAAATCTAAGGGAGATTAAGGAAGCAAGCAGAGCTCAGGAGAATTACAACTAAAAAAGAAGAGCTAGAACACAGAACAATCTTTGGTCTCATGGTCTATACTCTTAAGGACTCCTAAATCCAAGAAAGACTGATGCCAAGACACATGGAGATTTCCAAGAAATGCAGGACACAAAGAAACCGAGAGGATAAAGGACAACAAAAAGAGAAAGGTTTCTCTAAGAGCTGGCAACCTGAATTTCAACTTCTAGCCTCCCAAAATGTAAGAGAATACATTTCTATTAAAATCTTCTACTTGTAGTATTTCTGTTACAGCAGCCCTAGTTAACTATGACTGAATTTAGTACCAAGAGTGGGTTTATTCCGCTGTTTAACAGATACATAACTTGTGGAAGTAGTTTTAGAATTCAACAATGAGTAGAAGCAGGCAGTTATAAGATGCCTCATATTAAGTCTAGATTGAGGACACATTGACAGAATTATGGACTTCAGAAGCAAATCCGGTGAGGGTTCAGAAGGAACTGAGGAGATGTGTAACACCAAACCCAAGAAGAAACAGCAGAGAAACAGTAGCAGTACAGAAGTCTGGCATAAGACACTATGTGAGTGAACCCATGGAATGGGAAGAACTGATGCCTTTGAATAGTGGTGTTGAAGAAGAGTACTGAATATCACATGGACTGACAAAAGAACAAAAAAGGTTGGAACAAAAAAAGGAGGAAGTCTAACCAGGTGCTCCTAAGAGGCAAGGATGGTAAACGCATATACTCAGGGGGCACTTTCCTTGGAAAAAGACATCATGCTGGGAAAGATAAAAGATTACAGAGGAAGACCTTCAACAAGATAGTAACACAATGACTGTAACAATAGGCTGAAGTATATTAAAAATCATAATGACCATGCAGGGTAAGGCAAGGTTCAGATTCATTGTTCACACAGGGTCATTATGAGTTGGAATCAATTTAAGGCACCTGGCAATAAATCTGCGGTTAGAGACCTCTCCAAATTATTGAAGAATAATGATGTCAGTTTGAGGATTAAGGTTCATCTGATTCAGGCCATGGTCTTTCCAATTACTTGCTATGCAGCTGAGACCTGGACAATGAATAAAGATGACAGAAGAATTGACGGCTTTGAACTGTGGTGTTGGAGAAGAGCAGTGAACATCCCTTGGACGGGCAAGAGAACAAACAGATATATCTTGGAGAGGGTGCAGCCAGAGTGAGCTTTGGAGGCAAGAATGATGAGGTTTCAACTCACATACTTTGGGCATGTTGCTAAGAAGAGCTATTCTTTGGAGAAGGACATGCTGAGAAAGATACAGGGTTAGGGAAGGAAAGGAAGACCCTCAATTAGGTGGACTGACACAGTGATTGCTGCAGTGGGCTCTTGTGTGTCAGGAAGTGTAAGGATGGAGCAGGATAGAACAGGGTTCAAATCTTTTGTTCACAGGGTCACTTTGAGTCATACTTGACTTGACAGCACATAACAACAATAGCAGCTGCTTCTAAGGAGAAAGATCCGGCTGCCATAATATTAAAGTAAAAAAATCCCTACAGAGTAGTTTCACTCTGTCACATGATAGCAATGAAATGGAAACATGATCATGGCAGCCAACAACATTCATTAAATTCTTTTTTGTAAAAAAAAAAAATTTCTTTTTTGTGTAGACTTCTTTTCCTATAGACTAGTTTCTTTTCTGAGTCTTTCTTGTCTTAGGAAGACACTCAGCACCATAATTTATAAAATAAGCAAACCAAAAAAATCAGTTGTACTAAATTTTATAAAAGCTCTAAATCAATATAGAGAATAAAATCCTAGTCTAAAAAATGAATACTAACAAAACTCACCCTTCTGGTTCAACTTTCAGCCAAACAACAGAGAGGCCTATTAGGAGATCAGTATCACCAGTGAGGTATTCCATTCTCAGAATAATCAACCATATAAGGTCAAAACAGTAGCATTTATCCCAGGATAAAGACTAGGGACCAGAAAGGGGTAGGATAGGAGGATTAATGGAAATGAGAATTACAGGGAGGAAGTGGGTAATTATTTTGGGGTATGGTAATTAATGTTATGAAATGAAATGTGTATGAAGGTGGTTTTTTTGGTTTCTGGAGTTTTTAAAGATATGAAGGTTTAAATGAATAATTAATGTGCTACGTAAATTTTCAAATCACATTAAAAAGGAACACTAAAAATATAAGGATTCTTCAATAAGATTTGTATACCTTTACTCAACTGAAAATGAAATTAATTCTACAAAAAGCATTAAAGATTTCTTACAGAGAAAGCTGCATCTGAGGGAAATCAGTTGACATATCCTTGTGCATAAAATCTCCAGCCCACTTTGAAAATGAAGGAAGATACTCCTCTACTTCTTGTTTTATTTCCTCCTGATTCAGATTTAGGCGGTACCTGCCAAATAAGAGGTATTAAATACAGAACAAATACACTGAAATAAGTCATATGACATTAAAATATTGTATTATTTATTCTAATTCCATCACATCACATATAAATACAGATGTCTCAGTTACATAAAACTATTGGTGATACTACTACTGAAACCAAGCAATGAAAAATATAAATGCATAAATAGGAAAAAAAAGATCATACAGACAGCCTTGGACATCATTTGGGACATTTTTAATCTGTCTTACAGAATCTTACAGAGTTAGAATCAGCGCCATGGAAATGGAATAAAAACAAAAAATACCTTGAAGATTACAGAAAAAAGTAATAAAATTGTACTCCTTCTAATACTTACATTTCCTTCAGGTGCCTTGTTTCTTGAAGAGTGTGCAAAGCAAGTTCTTGTAGCTTTTCTGGGGCAAAACTATCACTTACTGCTTTTTGAAATATTTCATGAAGAATTGTACCAATGAGCATTGGGCGGGTAGTATGGTCAGACTTCTAAAAAAAACAAAAACAAAAACAAACACAAGAGTATCTAGCCTATTAAATCAACCAAGAACAGTGGTAAAACAAATAACTAGATAATAAACAAAGTTTTATTTCTCAGCAATTGCAAAGTAGGTGACTTACACTTGCCCCAGTTCTAAATTATCTTATGAGTTATTTCTAAAATGTCTCTATTTTAAAGAAACAAGACTATAAATATTTAAACATTTTCAAATGCTTAATATGTTTAAAATACTGTACACTTTATCCAAAAGAAAGTCCATCAAGGTAGAGTTCAAAGACTCAGAGAAGTAAAACATATTATTTAAAAGAAAATTTAAAAACATAAAAAAAATAAAAAGAAATTTTTAAGTCTCATAGCAGAAACTTTTCACAGAAAAGTTTTACTGAAAAATAAACTATTTTATTTTCCAATGAACTATTTTATGAATCTAGATCTCTCCCTTGAAGATATTTTTTTAAAAAATACATAAAGTTCTTAGGTTTTTTTGAAAACCTTCATCAGGAATTTTAAAAATTAAATTACAGAGGCATTTTCTGTGCTGTTTTTACAGGTTCTGCAGGAATATAAAAAAATACTTCAAAATAAAGACTGTAACAAATAATATTTGTGGGGGAGGGATTGTATAACAATGAAAGAATTTTACTTTTCAAGAATTAATTGAGGGGGAGAGGGGTAACCAGGGAGAAAAGTGCAACAGTGAATGACTGCAAACCTTAAGTCTCTGTAAACTTTTGTTAAAATAAATTTAAAAAAAGGAAATAATATTTGTAGTTAATACCACTAAATTATATGCTTGAAAATTATAAAATGGCTATCCTATTATAACATGTATTTCACCAAAATAAACAAAAAAAAAAATAAATAATTCAGATTTGCTTTCCAACTCCTAAAAGATTATTTCTCCTCTATAATTCAAGGGAACAAAAGGAATAAACTCTAAAGATAAATTACAAATAAGTGTCAACTAACACAATGAGAACATTTATTTAGGTAAGGTATCTTTTCTTCTTTTTATCCTTCTTGTTCCGTGGTATTTTTCATTTCCTGCACACAAAGTAATATTTTTTCCAAAGGTAAACAATTGGGAGGGGGACTAATTTTTATTAAACAACCCAGGCTTTTCAACAAATAAAAAATAAAGTGAGTAGGTGGAAGGTAGAACTAGCAGAGCTGGAAATCAAGTTAAAGTCACATCAACCAGATTTAATACAGGAGCTCATACAATGATTCAAACAATCCAATTCAATAAAAAGATTTTTTTGAGAAAAGGCACTAAAGGACATTAATTTTAAAAATTACTATTCATCTTATTGGGCAAAACAAAGCTACTGTATTTATGCTTTTAAAATGTTCTTGGCTAGTTGAGCCTTCCCACAGGCACACCCTCAGCCGTCCTTTATTTGTGACATGATAGGAAGAGGGAAAGCAGCACAAAGTTGGTTATTAAAACTAAGTGTTCGGTACTAGAGGGGTCATTATAATGAACTCTTAGTAGATGTCTGAAATATTTCATAACAATTTTATGAAGAGATTAACACCTGAGGTTTCCTGGTGGAGATCATAGTGAGATCTGAAGTTAGCTCAAAGATGGAGAATCTCAGGAAATACATATCCATCATGCTGGGAGAAAGTCCCTAAAAACTCCACCTTGGGAGAAAACTTTCCCTTGTGAGATTTCCAACCTTCAGAAAATCCGCTGGAAGGTCTGCTTTAAGTCAGCTCTGATTTAATGGCAATGAATTTTAACATTTACATTTTGTTTATTAGCAATCATGTGAAGCCAAATTTAGATCTTTCTAAATGTATAAAACAAAAGATTCCATCACTCAAATTAATTCCACATGGTTAAAATTGAATAGGATTTAAAGGACTCAAGAACTAGCAATGAGACCTAGCAGCACTGCCACTTACTAACTATGTGGCTTTGGGCTAGACTCTCGGAGACTGGTTTTCCTAACCTGTAAAATGGGGTTGATTAATATCATCTATCTCAAAAGAATGTTAAGCCATGACCAAGTGGGATTCATAATAGGTATACAAGGATAGTTCAACATAAGAAAAACAATCAGTGTAATTAATCACATTAAAAGCAAAGAACAAGAACAACATGATCTTGTCAACTGATGCAGAAAAAGGCCTTTGACAAAATACACCACCATTTCTGGATTAAAATACTCAACAAAACAGGAACAGAAGGGAATTTCCTCAACATAGTAAAAAGTATTTGCACAAACCCGAGAGCCAAAGTTGTTCTGAATGGAGAGCAGTAAAGGCACTCCCATTGAGAACAGGAACTAGGCAAGGATGCCTACTATCACCTCTCCTATTCAATACTGTATTGGAAGTCTTAGTGGTAGCAATAAGACAAGAGAAGGAAATAATAGGTATCCAAATTGGCAAAGAGGAGGTAAAATTATATACAGATGCTATGATATTATACTTAGAAAAACCTAGAGATTCAGCAAGAAAACTATTGGACATAGTTGACCAATTCAGCAAAGTGGCAGGATACAAGATCAGCATACAAAAATCAATTGGATTTCTCTACAGTGACAAAGAGAATATAGAACTGGAGCTATCGTTCTATAATATAGAACTGGAAAAACAATACTCATCACAATAGCTAATCACAAGATTAAATACTTGGGAGTAAATCTAACTAGAAAAACAAAAGACTTTTTCAAAGAAAATTACAAACCATTACTACAAGAAACCAAAAAAGAGACCTGGAGAAATGGAAGATTCATGGATAGGAAGACTTAATATTGTGAAAATGACAATCCTACCAAAGGCAATCTACACGTTCAATGCAATCCCAATACAAATACCAATCCATTCTTCAACAAGATGGAAAAGGCAGTCTCCAATTTCATTTGGAATGGAAAGAAGCCCCAAATAAGCAAAGCACTCCTTAAAAAGAGAAGCAAAGTAGGAGGTATCTCACATTCTGATTTCAAATACTACTACACTGCCGTGGTGGTCAAGACAGCATGGTACTGGTATAATGTCAGACACATAGATCAAAGGAATAGAATTGAGAATCCAGAAATTAACCCAACTACCTATGGTCAGTAGACTTTTTTACAAGGAGATGAAATCAGTCAAGTGGGGAAATGACAGCCTTTTTAACAAAAGGTGTTGGTAAAATTGGAAAACCATCTGCAGGAAACTCAAACAAGATCCACATCTCACACCATAAACAAAAACCAACTCAAAGTGGATAAAGGACCTAGGACTAAAACCAAGGACTATAAACTTCACTAGAAAAAACCTTGGAAGAACCCAAGAAGCACTACTAATCCACAACTTGAACAGTCTTTCAAGTATTCTGAAAAACCTACAACCAGGAGAGGATCAAATAGGTCAATGGGACCTTCTAAGAATCAAATCCTTATGCACATCCAAAAACTTCTCCAACAGGGTAAAAAGGGAAGCCACAGATTGGGGAAAAAATATTTGGTAATGACATGCTGGATAAGGGAATACTCAAACACCACAACAAGTTAAACAACCCAATTGAAAAATGCGCACAGGATATGAACAAACACTTCACCAAAGAAAACAGTCAGATGGCAAACAAATACATGAAGAAATGTTCAAAATTCCTAGCTCTAAGAGAGATGCAAATCAAAACAATTATGAGGTATCATCTCACCCCAGTAAGAATAGCAAAATTTAACAGAACAGGAAACAACAAATGCTGGTGAGGTTGTGGAGAAACTGGAACCCTTATTCACGGTTGTTGCAAGGGTAAAATGGTACAACCATTATGGAAGGCAGTATGGCACGTTTTCAAAAAGTTGGAAATACCATTTGACCCAGCATTTCCACTACTGGGAATATACCTTAAAGAAATCAGAACTGTCACCCAAGCAGATATATGCACACCCAGGTTTATTGCTGCTTTGTTCACAGTAACAATGAGTTGGACACAATCCAAGTGCCCATCATCAACAAACGAATGGAGAGAGAAGCTGTGGTATATTCATACATTGGAATATTATGCAGCAATGAAAAACAAGGAACACATGAAATATTACACAAAATGAGTGACCCTGGAGGACATTATGCTGAATGAAATATCTCACTCACAAAAAGACAAATACTGTATAATGTCACTGTTTAAGAACAGGAGTGTTAAGGCGTTTGGGGGAAACTAAGAGAAGAGGGGATAACTAATGTATACAGCATTGAAACAAATAAGAGAGAAAACCAAATAAAAGGATATATTATTAGATACTATCGGCATGACAAGAGTCCAGAACAAGAGCAGTATAGTAAGGTGGTTAGGGGAGGGGGAGACTGTACAACAATGAAAAACCTTTTTTTTCCAAAGAAAAATGTGAACTGGAGGGGAGGGTGGACTGGGAGAAATATGTGCATCAATGAATGAATGGAAATCCAAGTTCTTTGTCAATTTCATTAAAATCTAAAAAGAAACCAACAAAAAAAAACCCACCCCAACAAAAAAGGATAGTTAAGTAGATTAAATGGAGGAATAAATGTAACAGTATTCTGCACAAGCATTAGCTATTAATATTATGTACCCTAAAAGTTTCACTCAGAACAGCTCTTCTCATGCAACGAATACTACTGGCTACACTTGTGCCAGAAATCAGCATGTCTGGATACAGAATCAAATAGCCAAAATCTTTATCAACTATCCAAGTATCAGAGATGCTGTCTCCTTCCAAATGAATGATGTCCCCTGGAGCTACTGGAACAGAACACCTGCAAACAGACAGAAAGAACAATTATATACATAGGTTTCTAAATTAAACCTATAAAAGAGGCTTTAAAACCATAGAACACTTATCTTAAGAAAAAATAAAAACATTCCTAAATTTATGGATCTTTTTAAAACATGAAATATGAGTATATGATATTCTAAATTAAGCCCTAGTCACGCTACCCTTTTCCACCATGAAATAAATACATCTGGGAATACTCATGGGTCTTCTTTAAACCACAGCAGAAAATTGCTGAAGCCTAGCAACATCTATTACAAAAGCTGTCAAAACTTGGTGTAACAGTTCTAAATATATAACTGGGTTGCTGATCTTTATTACAACTTTTAAATATCCTAAAAACTGATTTAGTAATTTAATGGTTGCTTGCATGCATTTCACAGAATATTTAGGACTGTCTAAGAGATTTGTACAATAACAGAGAACTACCAGAAATAGAAGCTGAGTTTAGAAGGGGTCATGACACTAGTGACATCCTGCCAATGTCAGATGGATCTTGGCTGAAAGCAAAAAGGAATGTCTATTTATGTTTCATTGACTATGAAAAGGCATTTGACAGTGTGGATCACAACAAATTGTGGCTAACCTTAAAAAGAATGAAAATTCCAGAACACTTGATTGTGCTCATGTGAAACCTGTAACTAGACCAGGAAGGTATTGTCAGAACAGAGAAAAGAAACACTGCATGGTTCAAAATCAATAAAGAAGTGCATCTCTTTCTCCAAAGCTTTTAAATTTATACGTGGAAGAGATTATTCAGGAGACTGAACTTTATGATTAGAAATGTGGCATCAGGATTGGAGGAAGACTTGTCAACAATCTGTGTTATGCAGATGACACAACCTTGCTTCGCAAAATTGAGGACATGAGGTATTTGCTGTCAAAGGTTAAGGACTGCAGTCTTCCATATGGATTGAAGCTCAACATCAAAAAACAGAGTCTCACCACTTGGGCCAACTGGCAACATCATGATAGAGAGAAGATATTGAGATTTTGACAATTTCAGCTTACTTGGTTCCACAATCAACACTGTTGGCACTAGCAGTCAGGAAATAAAAGATGATTTGCATCAGGAAAATCTGCTGCCAGGGATCTCTCCAGAGTGCTAACGATGTCTTAGTCGAGACTAAGGTGTGCCTAATCCAGGCCATGATCTTTGCATCAGAATGCTGGACAGTAACTAAGGATGACAGAAGACGAGTCGATGTCTTTGAGTTGTGGTGCTAGAGAAGAGTAGTGACCATACCACGGACTACAAAGAGAACAAATATGTCTGTACTACTATTCAACCTGTATGCTATGCAAATTATTCAAGAAGCTGGACTCTATGAAGAGGAATATGGCATCAGAAAAGGAGGGAACCTTGCTTGCTGAAAGTGAGGAAGACTTAAAGCATTTTTTGCAGAAGATCAAGGAATGCAGCCTTCAGTATGGATTACATCTCAATGTCAAGAAAATAGATTCTTACCACTGAACCAATAGATAAAATCATGATGGATGGAGATTGAAATGTCAACAACTTCATCTTGCTTAGATCCACAATTAACACCCTTTGTACCAGCAGTCAGGAAATAAGGAGACCCACTGCACTGAGAAAATCTGCAGTTAGGAACCTCACCAAATTATTGAGGAGTAATGATGTTAGTCTGAGGACTAAGGTGCACCTGATTCAGACCATAGTCTTCCCAATCACAAGCAATGCATCTAAAAGCTGGACAATGAATACAGATATCAGAAGAATTATTGATGCCTTTGAGCTATGGTTTTAGAGAAGAGCACTGAACATCTCATGGACAGTCAAAAGAAAAAATGGGTAGGTATGTGTTGGAGAAGGTGCAGCCAGAGTGCTCTTTGGAGGCAAGAATGATGAGGCTTTGCCTCAACATACTTTGGACATGTTGCTAGGAGGGGCTATTCCTTGGAGAGGGATATCAGGCTAGGAAGAGTGGCGTGTCGGTGAAGAAGAAGAGGAAGACCCTTGACCAGGTGGACTGTCACGGTGACTACCGCAATGGGCTCTTGTGTATCAGAAAGTCTAAGGATGGCACAGGATTTAACAGGGTTCAGATCTTTTGTTGACAGGGTTGCTATGAGTCATACTTCACTCAACAGCACCTAAAAACAACAATTCATGTCATCTAATTTACAGCTCAAAGAGCCAGTTAAATTAACATCTTATTTCTTTACATCTTGTGGCACCCCTGCCATGCCACATTTAACTTAAGTAACTCTGGTAACCTAGTGGCAAAAAGCTGAGCTGCAATCACAAAGGCATGCAGTTCGAGGCCCCCAGCTACTCTGCAGCAGAAGGATGGGCAATTTCCCATGTGATTAACTGCCTCTGAAAACCCACTGGACGTTCAGCTATGGGTTGGGTATGACTCTGGTATGCAACAACAAAAACAAAGAGAAATCTAAAGTCTAAAAATGTTTAGGCTATAGCTAAACTTGCTATTAGTGAGAACTAACAAGTTTTAAGTTACAATCTTCAAACACAGTGCACTGAGAAACAGGAATAGTCATTAAAAAGCTCCTTATACTTGTTAATAAGTATTGCTGTTGTTGTTAAGTGCCATTGAGTCGCTTGCGACTCATAGCAACCCTATGTGCAACAGCTCTAAACTCTGTTCTGTCCTGTGCCAGTCTCATTGTCTCCAACACACTCATCCTGATTATCCCCAGTCACCGAATCAATCCATCTTCTAGAGGGCCTTCCTCTCCTGCGCCCACCCTCCACCCTCCCAAGCATGATGTCCTTGTCCAAGGACGGGTTTCTCCTTACAACATGACCAAAGTATGTCAGACGAAGCCTCAGAATCCTTGCCTCCTTAGCCCAAAAAATACTGACTTTCAAATGACAGTAAAAATCAAATGGTTTTGAAATAAATGTTTCCGATGTTGAAATAGGTAAAATTTTCATGCAATATCAATTTACTCCCTTTGTTGTGTACCTCTGCATCAGAACCAACCCATAGCTGATCCTTCAGTGGGTTTTCAGAGGCAGTAAATCCAATGAGAGGAGATTGTTCATCTTTGTCCCTTGGAGCAGCTGATGAATTCAAGCCACATACCTCTGCACTAGCAGTGCCGTTCCTTACCACTAAGACATGGGTCTCCCTATACTCCTTTTCACTAACAAGCAAATTATTACAATGTGATGGATTTTACAATGCTCCCCTTAAGACTTTGCCAAATCTGTGTGGAAAGTAAAACAAAATTTACCAGTCATTCCTAAGAATGCACAGCTCTTTATCTCCCAGTGACTGGGAGGCAGTGATGGTAAGATGCTTTTCATGGTTTCCCACTTCATTCTGGACAATATTGACAGCTAAAACCAGGTACCGGTTATCCATTCCTCGGCTCAGGAGTGTTTTAGGAAAGGAAATTTCCATTTTTTTCTGAAACCTAAAGCATATACACACAAAATTATTTTAGCACACACAAGAAATTTTAAAAAAATAAGCCACCTTAAATACTGAACATTTTTATTAAGGACTCAATGAAACTTTATCAAAAGGGGGGAAATGTGGAATAGAATTTCAAATTCCTGTGGAATCCAAGATTAAAGTGCAGTTGATCCAAGCCATAGTTGTTTCAACTAGATACTATGTATCTGCAAGTTGGACAATAAATTAGAATGACAGAAGAATTGCTGCCTTTGAGTTGTATTGGAGAAGAGTAATGAATAGACCACCGAAAGAACAAATATGTCTTCGAGAGAGTGGCAACAGGAGTGCTCCTTAAGAGTAATGATGATGACACGTCATCTCACATACTTTAGTCATGCTGATAGGAGGTGCCAGCCCTTGGAAAAGGACATCATGCTTGTAAAGGTAGAGGCTCTATAGAAGAAAGGAAGACCAACAATACAGATGGACACCCTGACAGTAACAAAGCACTCAAGTGTATTAGAGATGAGGAAGGCACAGGATGGGCAAAGATCTGTGGTTCACAACATCATTATGAGTTAAGGTCTCTCTAGAACTTCTACCAACAACATGAACCTGAACTCGATCAAGGGCACCTAATAACAACCACAGAATGGGAGGAAAATAGAATCCAAACTTACTGTCTCTATTGAGAATAAGGAAACACCTGAATTTACTCCTTGAGATAATCTTTAAACCTTGATAGTATCCTCTGGAGTAATTTTTAAACCAAACTATAATTTTGGGGTGTGGGGCACCCACCATTGTAAGAATAAAGGAAAAATCTAAAATATTTCTACTGCTTGGGTCAAACTTTCCGTAAGTACCAGTTAAAGGAGATGTCTTGGGTACTACTCTTTGTAGAAATACAGGAAGTGTATTAGATGTGTATTGTGGGTGATTCACCAGAAGTCCTACTAAGAGCTTCATCTTTAAATTCAGACTAAACATGGAAATTATCTGATCCAACCTATTAAAAATGCTCAAAAACTATAAAACAGCTCTTCTTCCATCTTAAGTCATCAATCAAGTCTCTTTCTAGTTTGCAACAAATCTATGTGAGAATGTTAACTGAGAATTCAAAATCATAACCTTTTCCATTACAACATCAAATGCCTTGTACTTTGCCTTCACATTATTTTTATCATTCAACTCTAAAATCTATTACATATCCTCCTACACAAGATCTAGCCTAAAGCCAGGGTATCTCAAGAGATACTTCTAATCAACAGTCTCATTGCAAAGGTCCCTCAGTATTGTCATTTATTATAAAAAATAATTCCCAACCACGAATGCGGGTGAGAAGTCCTACACAGGCCCATGTGCTTACGGTATTTAATACAGAGAAAAGCTTCTGTAAATTGAAAATGTCTCTTATGAAGACACTTTTCCGCAGCCAGAAGCAACAGCGCTTTGCTTTCTCGTAGATTTGAACTCTTAGCTGTCCAATAAATGAAAGTGATAGGAATTGCCCAAAATTGGGAATGAGGGGAAATCAAGACCTTGTGAAGCCAACCTCCATCTGCACGCTGCTAGGGGCTCCCCAGGGCCTGAGGCAGCTGCTGGGTCACAGGAGCTCTCCCCTAGGTCTGCTAAAGTGTGGCACCAAGCGAGTCCCGCTCCTCATTTAAATCTCCCGCGCTGTTCCCAGGCCCTCCCCCGGCTCCGCTCACGTCTCCGTGGGCGGCGCGGTCTCATCTCCGAAATTCTTTTCCATCAGCTCTTCCAGCTCATCCAGCTCCTCCATTCCGAGCGCAGGTACCAAAAACTGTCGCTGGAGAAGACGGGTTTGTTACAACTGAACAGAGAAAAGAGCGCGCGTTGAGCCGCGCGCTTGCGCAGACGGAGCGGAGCCAGCAGCGCCCAAGTGACTTGCGCGGACCCGCCCCTCGGCGGCGCGCCTGGACCCACGTGGACTACATCTCCAGAGCTGCTGAAGGCTGCAAACTTGACCTCCTTTTCCTGCAAACCAGGGTTCTAAATCATCAACTCTAAACTTGATGTTCCCGACCAGTCTCTTAACTCGAGCCCAAAGTCCACCTTAGTTTTTAGCAGAACCATTTACAATTGAGCAAACGCAGGAGTCTCTCGTTAGCCTTAAGATTTTTCAAGTACTCATTTTGTCTGGAAAAGTTACGGGGAGGGGAGGGAGAGGGGAGACGACGACAAATTGTCAGATGGGAACTTCATCACCATGTACAAACCTAGTAATCTTGGCACCCACCCAGCTTGTCTCTCTTTCCACCTTTCCACTAGTTGTGATCCAACACAGTCAAATGCCTTTTCACAGTCAATGAAACACAGACATTCCTCTGGTACTCGCTTCCAGACAAGATTCATCTGACATAGGCGATGATGTCCCCAGTGCCAACGCCAATTCTAAACCCAGCTTTTATTCCTGGTTCTGTGGATGACCTTCAGCAGGATTTTGCTTGCATGTGATACTAATGATATTGTTCATTAATTTCCACACTTTATCAGGCCATCCTTTTGGGGGGGGATGAGAATAAATATAGATCTATACAGATTTCTCTGTATAGCCTAGGAGCACTTCTAGGGCACCATCTGTTTGTTGAAATACATCAGTTGGTATTCCATCAATTTCTGGGGCTTTATCTTTTGCCAATTCTTCAGAGCATTCATCGTCATTGCCTCTTGAACATAAGTTCTTTCATGAAATTCTTCTATGTCAGCAAATTCTTTTCGGTAGTACCCTGTATAGAAAAATAATACATAAATCTATCATCCGTGCAGTGGTGTCTCTCTGGAGACTAAGGTGCGTCTGATACAGGCCATGGTCTTCGCAATCACCTGCTATGCATCAGAGAGTTGGACAATGACCAAGGAGGATAGAAGGAGAACTGATGCCTTTGAGCTGTGGTGCTGGAGAAGAGTATTGAGAATACCATGGACTGCTAGGAAAACAAATAGATTTGTCTTGGAGAGGGTTAAACCGGGTGGCTCCTTGGAGGCAAGGATTCTGAGGCTCCGTCTAACTTACTTTGGACATGTAGTGAGGAGAGACCGGTCCTTGGTGAGGGACATCATGTTTGGGAGGGTGGAGGGACGGCGCAGGAGAGGAAGGCCCTCTATGAGGTGGATTGATTCAGTGACTGGGATAATTGGGATGGGAGTGTCAGAGACAGTGCGATTGGCACAGGACAGAGCGGAGTTTAGGGCTGTTGTACATAGGGTCGTTATGAGTCGCAGGCGACTCGTCACTCGGCACATAACAACAACAACATCATCCGTGAGCCGGAGGGTGCCCAGGATAGCTCCCTGCGATGAGCTGGAGGATGAGTGGGGTCAGGGAAGTGCAGCTCAAGGTGGCGTTGAGGGGGTCACAACCAGGGGCACAAGCGATGTGTATGGATTATTGACTGGAAAACTAATTTGCTCTAAAAAAAGTATCTGTAACTTCACCCAGACTACAATAAACAAAACGGGGGGGAAAAAATCTATCACCCAGTTTTAAAAGTTATCAAGAATTGTCTTTCACAAAATTTAAAATTTCACAAAAATTAAAGAATCAAATAAATGGAGTTCTGGTGGCTTAGTGATAAGAGTTGTGCTGACAACATAAAGATATGTGGGTCAAATCCACTAGCTGCTCTGCAGTAGAAACCTCCTGCAGTACCTCCTCCCACTAAGTTTACATCTTCAAAGGTCAGCTATGAGTAAGTTTCAACTCAAACGCACAGTACAATAGAAACAACAAATAAATGGAATGCTATCTTGTGTTCAGAGACTGGAAGATTTAAACTGTTAAAATAGCAATACTTAACACCGTGTAAGATTCAATATCATTTCCATCAAATCTCAATGGTTTTTCCCAAATTAAAAACCTAGCCTAAAATGTATATGGAACTTCAAGGAACTCTAAATAGCCAACACAATCTTGAAAAACAAGAATGAAGTCATTGGAGTTATACTTTGCAATTCCAAAATTTACTTCAAATCAACCATAATAAAAATATGTTGGTTTTGTAGCTGGTAGACTCAAACTGTATGCCTTTGAATTGACAGAGTACTCCGTTACCAGGCCTCCCTAATCAGAATATGGATATAAGAAAACACACATAGATCAATGAAAGAGAAGTGAAGAGTCCATGCATTTATCTCTATTTATATACAAATACAGACCAATTAAATAAAAATTAAGAAGTAGCAGATATTTTGCTATATGTAACTTATCACAATGTTTTTTAAAATTTTTCTTTAGATGAAAAAGGACTTATCAATTACAATAAAGAAAACATGCATAAATGACCAATGTCATAGGCAACTTCATTGATATTCAGAGTAGACTAGATCTTGCCAGTGGCCAAGAAAACTAAGAATTATTGCACAGGAAAGGGAGTTTCTGTTTTGGAAATAGACAACGGTTATGGTTGAACAAAACTGTGAATACAGATAATGCAATCAACATAATTAATTTAGTGTGATTAGTATTATTGGGCTGTATTCTTAAAAATAGTCAAAATAGAAAATTTAAACTACATCTATTTTATACTTTTAAAAAGAGATAAACCTGACCTTTGTGAAGTCAAGAAGAACCTAAAATGTTTATTAAAGAGGACTTTCAATTAATATGCCTGGTTTCCAGAGGTTGTTGGTGTAAGTACTGTCATTTACTCAAATTCAAATTAGGGCAACCGCCTGCAGGGGAAAAATAAAAAAGATGGAAAGAAATTGTAAGTATGCAAATAAGACAAAAGCAAAAAGGATTCTCATTACTTAAGAGTAAATACAATATTAATGGCTTGAAAAGAATTGGGAAATAAAGATTTGAATCTTCAAATCAGCACATGTCCTTTCTCCTATCCATCTCAAATGCATGTGTCACATTTTCATGTTTACCACACCAAACACTTACTATCCTTTCTGATAAATGTTTCATTAAAATAAAATAATAAAAAAATTCAAAAGTCCTTCTCCTTATTTTACCAAAGAAGGAGGTCATGGAAATTACAATTTATCAACATTAAATGGAACCCATAGTACATAAGTCCCTTTGATCTAAAAAGTAATTTTCAGAAGCATCTGCTTTGTTGACATTGTCAGTTTCAGCAAGGGAGGGATGGATTATGAATCCTGGCAACTCTAAGATTGTCTGAGCAAACCACCACTCCATAGTTATACGGAATTTCCAGAAGGCTGTAGATTTCTGTTTACTCAGATAAAGAGGTTCTCAGAGGGAGTTCTGGTGGCCTAGTGGCAAGAAACTGTGCAGCAATCCCAAAGGCTTGCTGTTTGAGGCCACCAGTAGCTCAGTGGGAGAAGGCTGGGCAATCTCCTCCTGTGCAATTAACTGTCTCTGAAAACCCACCAGAGGGTCAGCTATGGATTGGTTTTGACTCTATCATACTCAACAATAACAACAACAAGATGCACATCCGAGAGCTGGACAATGACTAAGGACGACAGAAGCAATTGTGTTGCTGAAGAAAAGTACTAAATATACCCTAGACAGCTAGGAGAAGAAACAGGTTCATCTGGAGAAGATGAAACCAGGAGGCAAGGATTCTGAACTTCTGTTTGACATACTTTGGATGTATGTCAACATATTTGCATGTTGCAAGGAGGGACCAGTCCTTGGAGAGGGATGTCATGCTTGGGAGGACAGGAGAGGAGCGCAGGAGAGGAAGACCCTGAAGGAGACTGGGGTAATGAGGATAGGTGTGTTGAGACAGTAAAGTTGGCTCAGGATAGAGCAGGGTTCAGAGCTGTTTTCTTTATTGTAATTGGTAAGTCCTTTTTCACAGGGTCGCTATGAGTCTCAAGTGACTCAATGACACATAACAACAAACAAGATACACACCACAGCTGAGGTGAACACTTAGAGCAAAGTCCAGATGAAGAGCAGCTTCTGGACTACTCTCAATTTCAAACAGGAAATTCCTTAACAGTGCTCAGAAAATAGAAGTCTTGTATTGAAAGCCTGACTTACCATACATTGTCAAGAATAAAACTTGTACCAAATAACCCAAACTATGAATGAATTATCTTGTCTAATTGGTCCAAAACAGGCTTTTTCCCTCTTCCTCAAAACTATTTTATTTCTTTCCATTAGATTTATTTTGTTGTTATTGAGAATATGCTCAGCATAACACACACCAATCCAGCAGTTTCTACATATAAAAGTCAATGGTGTTGACCATATTATTTGCCTTGGACAATCATTCTCAATCTCTTTCCTGAGATTTTCTTAATTTATTAACATAAATTAATTGTCCTTTAATGTTAATGTGTAGTATTTTCAAGTAAATTTCAGGCTTTAACATTTTACCCTTATTTCATTTTGATGGATCACAATAAATGAGATATAATTTCTCTCCACAACCAAAATTAATCACATCTGCCAAATTTAACAAACGGACTGTTGTTGGTTGCTTGTGACTCTTAGTAACCCTATGTACAATAGCCCTGAAACCTGCTCTATCCTGTGCCAATCTTATTGTCTCTGACACACCTACCCACATTACCCCAGTCACTGAATCAAGTCATCTCTTCCAGAGTCTTCCTCTCTTGTACTGTCCCTCCACCCTCCCAAGCATGACGTCCTTCTCCAGGGACTAGTCGCTTCTTGCAACATACCCAAGGTATGTAAGATGAAGCTTCAGAATCCTTGCCTCCAAGGAGCAGCCTGGCTTCACCCTCTCTAGGACGAACCTGGTTTTTTTCTTATAGCAGTTAATGGTTGATTCAATACTCTTCTCCAGCACCACAGCTCAAAGGCATCAATTC